TCTCTTAAACTGCATAATTCATATGTATGTTCCTAGATTAAGGAACCCTAGTCAGCCACTTTGTCTTTTTCAGGATATTTATGGGTTACAGTATGGAGAGACTCTGCAAGTGAACAGAACAGTCTTTGATTCATGTTATATAACAGTTTAATATTGAAATCTATGTGTTGTGATTATAATGAACAGAAGTTGAATTACACAACTGTGAATGTGAATTGTCTTTGGGTACATGTTTTAAATTTTGTAATTTAATTGCTTCTAAAGGTTGGACTACCTAATACACTTATTTACAACAACCTTCCCTGCCTTGGCACTTTCCAAAAGTTTTTGGATGGCAACTCAGCCATTGTCTATGTTGGCTAGGCAGTTTGGAAATCTGGAGCAAATCTGAAGCAGACCAGATTAAAAAAATGATAACTTGGTGTAAACTCTTCTGAATACAGTTTGACTGAGTTTGTAATAATGCAGAGAGCATCACATAGTAAGGATACTGAAGCATTTGTCCATATAAAAATACCCTCAAATATTAAACTGAATTCCAGTAAAGCAAAACAATTTATGAACTATTTTGCAGTTTTGAATATTTCAAATGATTTTGTAGCCAGAAAAATAATTCAAAGGAAGCAAATGTCGCTTACATAATGCTATAGAGTAACAGGGGCATGCAAAATGAGAAATATGTTTTGTTTCAAAGCTGAAACTATTGCATTCTGGAAGTGCTGCCAAATCAGCACAATTATTCAAAGCAGTGCCTGTATTGGAACATCATTGGCAAGGGGAAGCAGGCGAGAGAAGGAGGGAAGGGATCAGAAAGACCAGGAGAGAATATCCCAACAGGGATAGTCTTTGTTTCTGCTGAATCACAGGTATATCTGAAATAGTTCAGCAGAAGCAAGACTCAGAATGCTTTAGCTGTTCTGGACTCTGCCCACAGCAAAATCCAAAGGGATCCCAGAGTGTTTATATGGGTCAAATCTGTTGCATCTTCTACTCCATGTTGTCTGTCCATTGACACCCACCCTAACCTTTTGAGCATCTTCTACCCTATCTCTCCTCTACTTCCAGAATGTCTTCCAGAATGTCACCCCCCCTTCACATCAGTTGCTATTATCATTACTAATGCTCCAATGTGACATATTCACCACTGATGATCCAGGAGGGCATCCTATGCCAGTCCCAATATTGCCAGGGTCTTCACTCGGCCTCCTCTCAATAGCAACTGCTGCAGATGTGCACCACATGTACCATCACTACGGATAGTTCTGTCTTAGCTTTCTCCTGTAACCTTCACACACACTCCACTTCAGTCTGGAACTTTTTGATCCACAAATTGCTACAAACCTCCAAAACAAAGCAAGCTTTGTTTTGAACAGGGACCTACAAAATCAGAAGTTCCATGCAGGTTAGAGTAAGTGTGTGAATGAAGTGGCTGGATAGAGTCACCGAAGCACTGGGCGTGAGCTTAAAGAGACTCCAGAGAAGAGGTGGTATTCTGTCAGTTCGCCCCGTTTTGGGCGAACTGGGAGTGGCGGCAGCAGAAGGCTCCACCCACCCACCCAGAAATTATCACAGATGCTCTGTGCATGCGCAGAAGCTTCTGTGGATGCACAGAAGTGCTACACGTGAGCAAAGTGAGTATGCACGCGTGCTCCCGGTTCCAAACCTGTAGCGAAAATTACAGCATTTCATGCCTGCTCCAGAGGATGGTAGAAGACAGGACGGCCTGGAGGAATGTTGTCCATGGGGTCGCGATGGGTCAGACACGACTTTGCAACTAACAACAACAAATGAAACATTTTGCCCATCCCCAGACTGAATCCATTCCTTTTAAAACAATCCAGTTTTATGCTTCAATTCACATAAAATGATGCTCACATAGCTTCTAAAAGCAGTAAGCAGACCAATGGTGAGGCACTAATATTTAGGGAGGGAGGAAAAGAAATATTATTTATTTTGACCACGTTTAGAAACAAGTTCTTGAAGTACATTTTCTTTTGATAATGGTCCAGGCGGCCAATAGAAAATTAAGAGACCCTACAAAATTTACAAATGACTTATTGTTAACATTACAAAACTGTGTTTACATAGTAGTCAGGCTGTTGAAAAATTAAGAGAAATGAAGGTGACAGAATTATACACTAGATGAAGTTCAATTTTAAATTTCTAATAGCAAAAACACATTTTATACACGACCATCTTATTAGCATTCTGTATATACAAGCAAATACTCATACACACAGATGAGAAGTGTGCTCATTTGTTTCCCAGAATATATTTACACCCTCAGTGGAGTAAGCATTTCAAGTTTTTATATTTTAATTGGGAAGAATTATTTCCATGCTGTCTATCGTGTTTCTCAGAAAATAAGACCTTTTAGACTTGAAAATAAATACTTGGGCTTATTTTCGAGGCGGTCTTACTTTTTTTGAGGTGCAGCAGGCCAGACTCCGTGAGCCAGATGTGCAGTGGACGCACTGTCGCCTCCATTCTGAACCTTCAGCGTTCGGAATGGAGGCTTTTTGGCGAAGGGGAGGAAAATGGGAAGAGGGATTTTCTGCCTGCCATCCTTCCCTCAGTCTGTGCTAGGCTTGAGAAATGGATGACAGCAGGGATGGGTTTCCAAATTTTTTACTACCAGTTTGCTTGCACGAGCTAGCACGCACAACACTTCTGCCCATGTGCAGAAGCATCCGGACGGAGCCTCCCACTGCCACTACTACCGGATCAGCCGAACTGGGAGCAACCCACCTCTGCATGACAACAGGAAAATCCACCACTCCATTTTCCTCCTGTTTGCCCAAAAGCCTCCCACGAGCCTCCCAAAAAGAGGGGAAAAATAAAGCAGCTGGCCATAGAGCTGCTGGCTTCGGGGAAGCGGCCTAACAAGCAGAAGCGCTGCATCCAGAAAGAGAAGGGCAAAAGCAGTATTTGTGCTGTCTCAAGGGGCCAGTGGGCTTCAGCTGTAGCCTGACAGTTCCCCCCACCCCGCCCTGCCACTTGTGCTGGCCACACCCATCTTCTAGGTTTATTTTCAGGGTAGGGGTAATATTAGGCCCATCCCCCCAAAAATTAGGGTTGGGCTTATTATTGGGGTGGGTCGTGTTTTCGGAGAAACAGGTATATAAATGTATGTCTACTTGCAACTGAACTTTACCATGAGAATTTCATGGACATGTCCAAATAGATTTCTTGGCATCTATATAGAAGTAGTTGCCACGGCCTATCTTCTTTCCCAGTCTAGCCTACACACTGGGATTTCTTGGAAGTCTAACATCCACCTTCTAACCAAATTTGACCCTGTTTAGCTTTTGCAAGTTTGATTACGGTGCAATAACATCTAAGCCAGACTGCATAATGTTCAGGAGATATATTTCAAGCAACTTTTTAAATTCTGCTTGTGCAATAAAGTAATCAAATCCCAGCAGATCTAATGCTCAAGGAGGAGTTGGTGCAAGCCTTAAAATAATTATTTAGTCTTCCTTTCCTTTCCATGTTATCTCTCTACTGATAACTACATTTATGGCTTCCTACAACTTTCCTAATGATGCAAAATGGGGTTCCACCAGACTATACTGATGTTAACCCATAAGTATTTTTCTTCATAATTAAGACAGTGGAGATAAGTATTGAGTAAATGTAATTTTGTCGGGCTTGCCTTTTAATCTTATACTAATAGCACAATTATCTATTGAACTATATTGTAGAAATCTGACTCTTCCTCTCCAAATAAGAAGGGGGAAAAAATGAAGCAAATGCCGTTTCCAATTTTGATAGTGTTTATAGTGTTACCAAATTAAGCAAGAGAAGGAATATGTTGATGATTGGGGGAACCTCTGGACAGGTCAACATAGTTGTTTTTACTGGTGGACTGATAAGAGGACAACTGGTCTTCTTGAAAGAACTTGATCCGAAAAGGTAGTGCTAGATAGGAGCAATCTACTTAAAATTACTCCCCAAATGCTATCAGTGCTTCTACATTCAAGGATGATGCTATCATAAAGATTATATCTCCACAGGGAGAAAAATTAAAAGGCAATATATACTAGTCTCTTATGTGATAAATATATTATGGGGTAAATAGGGTTCAATTTACTAAGGCCATGTAACGGGGTGAGCTTCGAAAGCATGTGAAAAATGCAAATGCCTTTGGCGTTTAGTCATGCTGGCCACATGAGCATGGAGACATCTTCGGACAGCACTGGCTCTTCAGCTTTGAAACGGAGGTGAGCACTGCCCCCTGGAGTAGAGAACGACTAGCACATATGTGCAAGGGGAACCTTTACCTTTTTAATGGGATAATATACTCACAATAAATTATCATCATTGTTTACCCCACCCAAATATGGCAAATATCTCCATGTTCAAGTAGCATATAATGCAGGATATCCTGAGCATGTATGAACTGGCATCTTTTTAAGGACTCAGTCCCAGACATGATAGAGGACACTAGGACCTTTTATTTCACTTTCCACTTCCATCTACAATGGCATGACTGGGTTGGCAACACTGCAAAGTCAGGAGATTGTGTGCAACCTGCCAATTTCTTTTCTTTTTTCTTTACTAGAGTGAAGATAAAAACTAAAACACCCATGGATTTTGTATAGAGATATTAGCTGGCTGGATCCAATGACCCAATTTTGTAGTTTGTGTGAGATGTTATCTTTTCCTTGTAACTAAATTAACACTATTGTGAGAACCAGATGTCGTGTATTTGGAGAATTTCATTTTAATCCCACAGGTTGGCAAATTCATTATTTAAGCTTTGGGGGTGGGGAGAGAGTAACATGTGAAAATAAACTGTAAAAAGCAAAGTAACATCTGCCAACAGCAGAATTTAACTTTATGGAAAGGAAATGAGTGTTAGAATAAATCCTGGTATTATGTGTGTAGATACCAATGTGGCTTATTTCTGTTTTCATCTTTAACTGAAAAGACAAGGCAAAAAAAAAAAAAACTTTCCTCAAGAAATATCCTCGTTATGCTTCATTTTTGTTTCCTACCTGTGAAGATTTGGCGAGTTTCTGACTGTATTCCTTTTCAATCTGCTTCAACTTGTCGTTAGCCTGAAAGACACAAACAAAAAAGGGAAACCAGATTATCTCAGATGAAGAACGTGTACAGACATTTTGCCACTGACCTCTGTTGCCTGGCACTTCGTCTGCATGCCTATCACTAAGCAGCTGGGAGCTTTGCCAATTCCAACGCCCTTTTGCGGCAGCCAAAAAAACCCTAGGGCTTGCCTTTGATCTAGGGCCAGCTATTCATCACTTGAAAGAGAGGGAGGGGGGAAAGGGAGGAGAATAGTACTGCTGCTGCCAATTATTAGAAAAAACATAAAGGCCTCTGTGGATTTTTTTTTAAGTTGGGGGGGGAAGGGAGAGGGAGTTTATCTGGATGACCTCATCTCAGAAAGAAGAAAAAAGGGAAGGGAAAAAAAAGTCACCAGCTCCACTGGGGGCTGGGAGGATATAATTGACAGATAGTCTATGATATTGTGTGCCAACTGATGCCTGCTAGTTCCTTTTAAATATTCCCACATACCTTCTTGACTAAAAATTGGCTTCTATTAACTCAAATTCTACTACACTATGGAATCATTTGAGCTTATTTTGACCCACAGCCCTCTTCTCCCTTTTTAGTTCTCTTTTGCACCTCAAAGGTAAGAAGCAAAGCAATCTGAAAATAGGGGTTCTTTGTTGGTTTGATACCACATGGAGCTCCAAGAGCAGGATTTCTAAAACTATCTCAACCCCCGTCCCCCCAAACTTCTGAAGAAATATTTACCTAGATTTCTCTATTGACTTAAAACATTTAAGAATCTGTTCCAACCTTTCAACGGACAACTTTTCTCCTTAATTATGAACCAATGTTCCCATGTTTCTAGACACAAGGCACAGTCCTATTTTCTAAAAATACATACAGGTAACTTGGCACATGGGAAATGGGACAATAACTCTGATGAACCATGCTTCCTTGTTCTTTTATTGAGCAGGGAAATATGTAGCACACCAGACATAGACAATCACTGCACCCTTGTGCGATACTTTTCTTTGTAAGAGGAAACAAGCAACTTTGGACAACACTCATTTATTAAAAAAAGTGTAAGGCAAAACTAGTCAGTCAAGCTATTGACTTTGTAGCTGAACCAGTGGTCCAATTTTCAAATTAAATTCTGTAACTATAAATTGGAATTAGGTCTTCTAGCTTAATACAAAAATACTTACCAATTATTAACAGGGAATTACATCAATATAAAAATGTCAAGTGTGGGTATAGCAGACTAAAGGTAGTCCTTGACTTATGACCACAATTGAGTCCAAGATTCTCATTGCTAGGCAGGGCAGATGTTACGTGAGTGTTGGCCCACTTTACAACCTTTCTTGCCGCAGTTGTTAAGTGAATCGCTGCAGTTATGAAATTAGTAGCACAGTTGTTAAGTGAATCTTGCTTCCCCATTAACTTTCCCTGTCAGAAGGTCGTAAAAATTGATCACATGATCCTGGGACACTGCAATGATCATAAATATGAGCTAGTTGCCGAATATCCAGATTTTGTTCACATGACCATGGGGATGCTGCAACGGTTGTAAAGTGTGAAAAATGGTCATAAATTACTTTTTTCAGTGTTGTTGTAACTTCAAACAGTCACTAAACTAAGGTGACCAGATGTCCCAATTTTGGCGGGACAGTCACAATTTCTAACAATTTGTCCCGTGTCCCACGGCGTTTTAAAAAACTCCTGATTTTGGCAGGACAGTCACGATTTCTAACAATTTGTCCCGTGGCATTTTTAAAAAGTCCCGATTTTGGCGGGACAGTCACGATTTCTAACAATTTGTCCCGTGTCCCGCGGCATTTTAAAAAAGTCCCAATTTTGGCTTCATGTTGAAAGTGCAGCGGATTTGCTGAAGAAATCCTAACCGGGGCAAGACAAAAGACACTCTGTCTACTCTAACCCCTCTCTATGTCTCAGTACTTTTATTGAAGATATTAAAACGTTAAAGGAAGAAAACGGACCCCCTCCCCCTTTTACTTCCTTTTATAAGAAAAGATGACCCAGTATCATAGAGCTCCAGGAAATACTTTGGCTAGAGAAGTAGCGACTGTTCCTTCCTGGATTTCCCGGAGGGAAGGGGCACAGAGGTTGGAGGTCGGAGGTTGGCTCGTGTGGGAAAAATGGTGGCGCGCGAGGAGCTTCTCATCACTATCAAGGTTTCTTTGAAAAATATTTCCCTGGGACTAATTTCACCATTTGCTCAGTTCTTCGTATTAACATCTACATCATTCTGGATTGACTTGGAGTGCCTGCCTGCTGGTAAGTGAACTGAGTTTTTTTCTTTTATTTTTTTAATGAATTTTAAAATAATATTTTATTTATT